GAGGAGCCAGTCAGGCTGTGATGCAGCAATAACGAAAAATACAACTTTCCTCTAATTCCTAAATGCTTCCTCCCTGTCCCCCACCCCCACTATCATGATCCAAATTCTACCTTGCATGTCTGGCTAAACCAGAGGATGTACAATGGTACAGATAGGAACTGGAAACACAGGGAATTCAGGACAGATGATCCCTTCAGGACCACTGGTGTGAGTAGCAATACTGGGAGCATAAGTGAGGGTGGGTTGGAAAGGGGGAACTGATTACAAAGATCTACATGTGACCTGCCTGAGGGACGGACAACAGAAAAGTGGGTGAAGGGAGAAGTTGGACAGGGCAAGATATGACAAAATAATAATTTATAAATTATCGAGGGCTCATGAGGGAGGGGGGAGCAGTGAGGGAGGGGGAAAATGAGGACCTAATGCCGGAGGCTTAAGTGGAGAGGAAATGTTTTGAGAATGATGAGGGCAATGAATGTATAAATGCGCTTTACACAATTGATGTATGTATGGATTGTGATGAGTTGTCTGAGCCCCTAATAAAATGATTAGAAAAAATATGTAATAGCAGATCTAAATGTGAATATATATCCTTAATAAAAATATGCATCTTCAAAAAAAAAAAAGAGTTGTATGAGCCCCTAATAAAATGATTAAAAAAATAAATGAAGTCTCCAGCCAAGGACCTGAGTGTAACATCAGCCCCCTGAAGAGGCACTGGGAGCACAGGCTCAGGGTGGGGGGAGGGCGGGAGGGTGGGGGGCGTGGGGCAGAGAAGTGAGCCAGCGTCTGGAGCAGTTAGTTCGTCCATTGGAACTGGGGCTCTCAGAGGAACTCACCGAACAGCAGCTAGGGAGATGCAAGGATTGCTGTTATGAGGTGTCACCGGGCCATTTTGGACTTGCAGGGACCCCGAGGACTCCCCGGCTGAAATCTTTGTAGGAGCAGACCACCGGATTCTTCCCCAGAGAGCCCCAGAGCGGGTTCAAACAGGCAATGGTTTGGGGAGAAAACCAAGCACTTAAAGAACCCTTGCTCCTTTTCATGAATGAAAGTTCCAAAACCCATTGGGGGACTCTACTGACAGTCGCACTGGCTCACCATGTTTCAAGTAGATACGGAGAGTCCAAGCAGTTCTGAAGTCTTATTTGTCCCCTCACTTGGCTCTGAAGTGTCCCAGGAGATGAAGAGAACTATATTCTATTACATACCAAAAAAGAACGACTGAGCATAAGAGACAGAGTTGCTATCTGTTTCCATTCTTCCCAAGGAATCAACTCCAAACTAACATAATTACTATGCGAGAGAGAATAATAAAAACAGGAAGTTGGAAATAAGATTTTTTAAATGCCACATCCCGTCTAGAGGCACAGAAGCACCTGCAAGTGTCAAGTGTGCTGAACGACATAAGTATATTGTAAAAGCCACTGGGTGGAGGAATAGCCCGACTTCTGCTGTCTTGAGAAACAGTGCATTGGACTACAAATGGTATGAAGGAGCCCGGATGGTGTGATTCATTGGGCAGCTCACTGCAAGGTCCTTGGTTTGAAACCACCAGCCATGCTGAGGGAGAAAGATGGGGCTTCAACTTCAGCATAGTCTCAGAAACCCACAGGGCCAGTTTTACTCGGTGTCACAGGGTCACTGTGAGTCAGAATTAACTCGATGGCAGTAAAGTTTAGGTTTTTGTGGTCTAAACCATGTCCTTCACCCAAGTCTCACATGCAAAAAGTTCATAGAAAAGTTCAGTAAGCCTCTAAATCCATTTTCTCTTGAACTTTCCACGTCCCCTCATATGCCCTCCACACGATACTCCCATAAAGTATCAGTACCTTCGCAATTTTATAGGTAACATAACTGAGTTTTCAAAGAGCCTGAGGGTGTTGCCCATGTTCAGATAGGGAGGAGGAAGCATTCAAAACCAGAGACGAGGCTTTCCACCGCAGTAAAGGGTTGTCGTCTCGGGAAACCCACAGGGGCAGTTCAACTCTTGTCCTGTAGGGTCAGTACGAGTCAGCATCATCTTGGAGCAGTGAGAGAGAGTGAGTGAGCATCTGAACCCAAGCTGAGAAGATTCTAGAACACCCTTGATGGCTACCCTGGTTCAACCTCATTGCGCTGTGAAGCTTTTTAGAGGTTGAAAGTCATTTGGGCAAGGAGGCAGAGAAGAGGGCCAATGAGAGGTTACGGGGTTGCAGGGAGAGTTGTCCTGGCCCCCAAAAGGCTGGTTCCCCAGCTTGATACGAGATACGACTGCTTTCAAGCTTTTAGCCTGTAATCACCTCTATTGGAACCAGATTTACGAGCTCTTTAGAGGCGAGCTTTCTGAGTCTCCTAAGCAGACATGTTTGGTATTTTAGAAGGTCAACCCCCTATGGAGCAGTGTTTTTAATAGAATCAGTTCAGCTGAAACTAGAGACACACTCTTCAGTTCCGAGGAAGCCTCTGAATCTTTCAAGATTGGGGGTGGGTGGGGAGAGGAAGCGATAACATGAAAGATATATCACCAGGCACCGATTTTTTTTCCTTTTGCTTTCTTCCCCCAAACGAGGCAGGATCTCAAGGCTGTAGCAACAGCGTGACAATTTTCGATGCATTTCTCTCCCCCGTGGGCAAATTTCCACTTCGAAAGGAAAATGACTTTTCCGGGAGTTCTGTGTCATGGACTAGCTAGTTAGCTAGGTCTCACAATGACACCTCATTAGAACAGCAAACTTCTCTACGAGGGAAAAACACATAAAGCAGTCCCCGCCATGCCATTCTTACCTCACCAAATCAGATGGGCCCGAAGGCTCTGCTCTTCCACCACGCCCACCCCCACCACCCCATGCTCCCTGCAACTTCCGCCTCATAGGAAAGACCAAGTAGAAGCGTATTTGGTTGTTATCAAAATGCAAAGCTGAGTAGCCTGGCAAGGCTTTGAAGTTGCAGGCCGAGTGAAGTGCAGATCTGCCTTGAAGGCTGGTAGGAAGATAGCTGGGTGGCACAGTTAAGCACTCGGCAATTGGTCAAAAGGCTGGCTGTTTGAAACCACCTAGAGAAGCCTTAGCTCAAAGGCCTGAGCCTAATCACAGCCTCATTACCTGCACACCTGGGGCCGCCCCATGAGTAGGTATCTCACTCAATGGTAATGTGGAAAGGAAGATCACCTGGGCACACTAACGGGGCAGCTACAAAGGGGAGATTTGTATTAGAGAGAAGCGGGGCCAAGCACGAGCCCCAGAAAACTCACCCAGACTCCAGGGTCCCTGAGCACTGCGCCACCACTCCATTGTCCCAACTCAAACCAAACCTACATCACTGAGGTCCTCTAATTCACAGAGACCCTAGGCGACAGGGTAGATGTGGACTATAGGGTTTACACCTTTCTCCCGGGGAGCAGCTGGTAAATTTGAACTGCTGACCCTTGTTTTTAACAGCTAGTGCATAACCACTGCCCCATCGCAGACCAAAAATCCCAACTCACTGCCGTGAGGTTGATTCTGAACCACAGGACAGGGTAGAACTGCCTGGTGAGTTTCAGACTCTGAACTCTTTATGGCAATAGACAGTCTCACTCAGAGCAGCGAGAGGGTTCAGACCGCTGACCTTGGAGTTAGCAGCCTACTATTTAACCTCTACACCACCAGGGCTCCTGCCCATCCCACAGAGAGGTGTAAAAACCAAAGAATTTAAGAGTAAGAGTCAGAGACAGCTCAGTAAACACAGGACCAAGTAAGACCCACTTTGCATTCACCTTCCAAACTTTGATTACCGTGTTAGGCCCAGGCTTTTTAAAACAATGTTTACTGTGCTTTAAAAAAGTATGGGTTTTTTAAAAGTAATTCACTGCTGTTTATTTCCTAACAGATAACCGAGTCCTTGGTTAACACACAACTGACATGTAGGCTGGCTGCTTAGAAAACAAACTCTGGGACTGGCAGGATGCTGTTATATAAGGATAGAAGGAGCAAACGGCATCCTGAGCTTCAAACTAGGAAACTACTGGAATTAGATCTCCAGGGATAGGAGTGAGGGAAGAAATTCAATCAAGTCTCTTGATCAATTCTTCTCTGAACCAACGCAAACCCACTGCCAAGGAGTCAACTCCAACTCAAGAGTGGCTCTCAATTGGGTTTCTATGACGAAATCTTTGTGGGAGCAGGCAGCCTCACCGAGCTGCTGGTACGTTTGAACTGCTGACCTCGGGGTTAGCAGCTGAACACATAACACACCAGACCACAAAGACAGACACACGTCAGACGTATCTCAGCATCCACGGAAGTGTATTGTGAGGCACGTGAGAACCTCAGAAGGCACAATCAGCATGCGATCATTTATTAAAATGCTTCCTGTGTAGCCCGTTGGAGAGCATGGGCCTATTATTTATTCATCAGTCTACAGATTCAACTTTAGCAGTTGCCATTCAGAACCTTTCTCACAAGCGGCTGCTGCCAGCTACCTTCTAAAGGTAACCCGAATTACATTGTGCATAAAATATTCTGGAAAATACATAAATTCTTGTGGAAAACCCCACCCTCAAATATGTAAGCTATGAACTGATTTTTTAAGCAAGTGTTTCAAAGATAATATGCACAACAATTGGGGGGTGGGGGCAGACCTGGTAGAAAATGAATCCCACATGGAAGATAAAGTCACACGGGGAAGGGGTGGGGGTGCAGGGAGCACACGATTGCCGCCAGGCTGCATGACCCAGAAAAGCAGAAAACTTGCTCCTCAGCTACATTCCTCCATTAGACGCTGGCTAAAGTCAAGGTTGTGTTTGGTTATATTACGAGAATCACTTTGGGGCACTGGGGAGAAACTCTGTAACAATGTCTTACTTAAATCTCAATGAGTCGGGGTTGAATGTTCAGCAGTAAGGTGGGGTTGGGGGGAAGATTTCTAAGGATGGAGATGAATTTAGCATCCCCCCCCCAAAAAAAAAAAAACTGCAGCAGGGTGTGCTCCAGGACGAAACTCTCAAGAAGGAAGAACATGCTAGAATAAAGTTAGGCTAGTTGGAGTCAAAATATTTAATTTGGTTTTCAACAGAATAAACTGGTCAATTAAATCAACAGCAGAAGGAGACAGGAGGGACTCGGCGAGAGAGGCTCATTTTCGTTGTTTTTGTTTTGTTTGTTTCCTTTTCCAGCCAGAGGTAGACACATTTGAGAAAGCCATTCCAAAGCAAGGAGTCCCACAGGTAGGACCTTGGCTAACACAATGTCAGACATGGGACCCATGTTCATCTGAGCCGGCCAGATGGAAGCTTAAGATCTCTGAGCTAAAGGCTGAAAAACATATTTATCCTACCAACAACAAAAGAACAAAATCTGAGTAAAACACTGAATGAGGAGCAACACACATTTAGAAACTGGCCCTAATTACACATGCACAGGGAAGAGTCAGCAGGACCTTGACCATGGGGGCCAGGGTGGGGGCAAACCTAACCTAAAAATTGAGAGCCAAAGTGTACAACAGTGGATCTTCACCTGTACAACTAACATGCTGCCTCTGGACAGCCCCCACTTTGTTTTAATTTATGAAAGAGACCACTAAATTGCAGACAAAAAATATATATATTTTTAAAATCTTCACAATAAATCAATGTACGGACTTACAGAGAGCACAGTTTAGTTTATTTAGGTACTAACTCCAGCTCCCTTGGATGCAAATAACCCTGGTAACAGTGTGTACACAAGCCTTTCTCTTTGCTCCAATAAACTTTAAAGCAAACGAGACATTTGCAAGTCTGTGCAAATAATCCTTCAGAAGAGCCAAGAGTCCGTTTGCAGAGGTCAGCCGTCTCCCCCAGGAGGATGACCCGAGTTCCTTTTTCTTCAGATAAAGTGCTCCTGTCCAGCAGAACTCTGAGGCCTTCAAGCGTCCCAGACGTTGGTGGACACGGTCATACGAACTCCAGCTTCCCGTGCCCACTGTACATGCCCCAGTGGACCAGCGAGAGGATCTTGTCATTGCTGAGGTCCGCCTGCCTCATCTTTTCGCAGGTCATACAGCAGTTGTCGCGCGCGCCGACCGGCACCATGCACTCCCAGTCTAACTTTGCAATCGGGCCCTTTTTGGAATGGTGTCCGTGAATGCTGTAGTGCAAGCGAGACAGCATCTGCTGGCGCTGGTCCCGAAGTCTCTTGTTTTCGCTGCGAAGCATCCTCAGGGCCAACATGATAAGCAGCACAAGGATCAACCCTCCAGCTATGGGCACGGCGATCACTGCCGCACGGAACCACAATTCTTTGGACGACGTCAGCTCCTGCACCTTGGTGATGAGGTTTCTGCCGCTGTCGTGTTGGTATCTGTTGCCTTGTCCTACAGGGATGCAAAGAAAACCATCAGACTCCAACGTCACTCCACCAGCGCCAGGCAGATGCAGTGTGGCCTCGTCGTTGACAAAAAAAGGAATCCCACTCTAAAGAGCTTCCGATTAGGCGAACAATATTGAGAAAAACAATAACAATTTTTTTTTTTTGCACAACTGATTCAAAGGGAGATTATAACTACATCTGTTAACAGGCTGTCATTACTGTGTAGTTAATGGTCTTTTATGTCTTCGAAATGTTGAAAAAACAGGCAAGACCTATTATGGAGACAGCCGTCTAATGCCCAGGCAGACATAAAAGCTACTCACTGAGAGATGCAACTTTGCATCCAGTCCAGCTTCTCCCTCTGGTGTCTCTAATTACATTAGCAACAAAATCAATAGCAGACATCCCGCGCCGTTGGCTGTCACAAGTCTACAGACCAGGCAAGCCTTCTGGTTAGAAATAGCGTCCACCTACCTGAGGTCTCCCCCCTGGGAGGAGAGAGATCATGCAGTCCTCTGTAATTGCACATATCTTCATGACAGCATTCCAACGTGGGCACAGTGGTGCCAGAGTGGTTGTGTGCCTGTTTGGCTTGGCAGATGCTCGCTGAGCTTGTGAGGGAGTCCAGGCAGCCATGAGTAAGCGGGGAATTGGTGTCCTGGGGATCGAGAAGTCTTGAGAAGCAGGCGCTGAGCTCCGACTTACACATGTAACCCGTTGCCACGCAGTGTGCGGCGTCACAGTAGCATCTAATTTCACCTGAAAACAACAAGAAGGTCCATCACCCTCTGCCCTCGGCGACCACAGCGGGCATCCACCCCTTGAAGGCATTGGCTAGATCCCAACGTCAAGGGCACCAGAGAACTTGGAGACAGACTAGTCTGTGAAATACTTACACTAGCAAGTCGGTGTAGACCGGGAGAACCCGTTGTGTAATTCGGTGGCAGAGTTCACTCTGGCTTCATGGAATAAATAGTCTAGAAGTACAACTGACCCCAATAAAAGAGCTTCAGGAGTTCTTAAAAATTTCGGGACCAGAAAATCATTAAACTTTTGGATTGTGAAGGAAAAAAAAAAAAAACAGCAATCAGGTGACTTCCCCCTCGTCGGTTAGGTAAATCACACCATTTCTTCATTTTTATCCTACATGGCCATGCAACAGAAAAATGCTAGGCTTTTTTATTTTGTCAGTATAAATATTTGATCGGAACTGCTAAATTGTTTACTGCCTCTCAGGGCTGTGCCAAGATTTAAGAGCTTTAGCTAACACCTTATAAAGTTATTAACTAGAAACACAACAATCTAGAAATTGCTAAGGTCAGGAGGTTTTAAAACTATGAAACCGGGCAGCTATTTGCAACCTCTCTAGAAAAGGCAAGCTTTTCCTATGAAGGCCTTTTCCTGCGAAGGAGCTTTCAGTCAGTATATTGTAAAACAGGAACTAGGCAGTTTACAATTAGTGGTTTGCTTGCCAAAGTCAATTTCTTTCAACCCAAATGGAAAGTCATAAAACCGAGGGTAAAACTGCAAGGCTAACTTCTCCTCCCCTCACTCCCCAGTTTTCACATGTAATTCAACATGCGATCTAAAAGGGGAAGCATTTAAACTGAAGAGCCTCTGCTGGTTTGAATGAAAAATCCTTAAGGAAACCTCAACATTTTCTACAGGAAGTGATTAAAAGTTTCCTTTCTAAAACTTAGTTTGTTGCTGTGCACATGGAGTTGCAAAGAACCCAGGATTAGAGGCTTTTAGCATCCATTTCCAGCTGAACTACTCTGGGTCCCGGGAGTTATCACTCTCATCTGATAGGCGGCCCGCTTGGGCTCCAGCCTTGGTTACAGGCCCCAAGGAGAGCTACCGTGTGAATGGAACTGACGCACACACCTCTTCCCAAGCCTGCAACCTGCGGGTCTGTCTTGCTATAGAAACCTCCGCTCTGAAATAGAACACCAGGGGTTGCTGCTTTACAAACTTCTTCTCACCCTCACTTGCTTTCTCCCTCCCTTTCTTGTGAGTGCCTGAGAAAGGTGTCTTGTTTCATTATCTGTCCAAATTCCAGGTCACCGTATGGTACATGTTGCATTTTCACCAGAGAACGGCTCCGCTCCCCAACAAGAGGCAACTAATCACCCAGACCAGTAAGCACACTCCAAAGCTGGAGGGCTCTCTCAGGCCTCCACTCACAGCCCTGGGGGCTCCAGTTTATCTTGCCTCCAGCACCACCTTCAGCAGAAGATGCTGCTGGCCAGGAGCTCTTTTCTCCCCTTGCCAAGCTGATTCTTATCTTTCCCACAAGCTCACCGGTCCAGTGCGGTGATGACTACACATCCCTGACCTGACAAATGCCATATACACACTAAAGCACAAATAAAACAGACGAAGTCCATTGCGATCGCCGTGGTCTCGGACCTAGTAACACGCCCCCTCAAAAAAAGTACAACAAACCCTGAACCCAAGTAAAATGCTATTCAAATATTTATGGGGACTCGATTTAAAATACTATATTTTCAACGACCTAAAACGGTCTAATAAAATTTTGACAGGTAACTGGGAAACATTTAACAACTTTTTTTTCTAATTGGAGCCACATTGGAGCACGGAGAATGGGCTTTTGTATGACTGTATTAAAACTATATTTCTGTCCTTTCATAAAGGTTCTTCCTGTGGCATGCAAAAGGCCAGAAGCGGGGGGCTGGTATTTGGAAAGAGTGAACAATGCTCTTCTGTTTCCCCCCTTTCTTGTTACTGTACGTGGTGATTAAACAAAAATGTCTGCTTTCAGTCAACAGGGCTACAGGAGAGACTGCTGGCTTCTCTTAAAGCTTTTGAAGTCCGCAGCAGTCAGAAATCTCTGATCCCCTAATTATATCATTATCAGCCACATAGTTTCGGTATCTGTGACTTCATGTCAGCTTCAGTCCCTCCCCACTCTGGAGGCCTTTGATAGGGCCAGGAGGCTCTCTTCTGCAGGCTGTTATTTAGGGTTAATTACACCCTTCCTTCCAAAATAAATAAATACTGTAGCACATCATCCTTGCTGGGCTAGCTTATTCTTTAACCTCATGCCTGCTACATGACAATTAGAGAAAAGTGGGGGGTGCAAAACCTCAACACCACTCCCTATTTTTAAAAAAGGGGGGGCGATGTCTGTTCACAGAACAGTAGGTAGCGTCCGAGGCGAGGGCGGGGGACGGGGGTGTGGGTGTGGGCTTAGCTCGGGATATTACGACCTAAAAGAAGAAGTCACTGACCATTTGGTGTGGGGTTTTTTTTTTTTGGTGGGGGGAGAGCACAACCCACTCGCACGGAGACACACTCACAAAGACACTCAGACACACTGCACACATTCACTGAGAAACCAGCTCCCGCACAAGCCCGCCCAGAGACCGGGAGCGGCGCGGCGCCAGTCACGCACTGCGCACGGGGGTCTGCGGTGCCTTCCAGACCCGGGGGTGCGCAGCTAGGGCCGCGCTCCCGGCGGATGCCAAGGTCGCCCCTCGGAAGTTCATCACCGACAGACCTACGAAAACATTCTGACAACCACCTTCCCCGAAGGTCTGCCTCCACACTTGGGAGGGGACGGGCCGGGGGCCGGCGAGGGGGCGGCCGCGCAGCCACCGGCGCGACTTAGAAAAACTTGTCGCGACCTGCGAGCGAGCTCCCGCGCGGGAGGAGCCCTCGCGCGCCGCGAACAAAGCCTTGGCAGTCGGCTTCAAAGCCCCGCGGCGGCG